GAAAAGTTAGAGAAAATAGTCCAAATGTCGCGGGAACAATTTTTGAGAAAAGCTGAATGACGAAAATTACATCTTATTATCTTGATTCGTTTTGACATAGAACATTTTTTTAAATTTTAGGTTTTTTCTATATGATGCCCTATATTTACTTATTTCTGAAAATGTTTGAGTTTTCTAATGATATTGTTATTAGTTTTTTTGTGTAGATTCCAGTGGCTTGCGCAAACTTGTAAAAACAATTTAATAACATCTTATAGTTCGAATGACATACCTACATGATATGTAGGTATACAAAAAATTATGTTCAAGTTATAAATACCAACAATTTTTTGTGTAATCCGTGACGACACAATGAATTAGGTAGGTATGTATATGATAAAATAGTTGAATTATTAAAAAAATATATTTTTATGTTTACACTGAAATAAATATTGCGGAAGTAAGTATTCAAGTATGATGATGAAATAAATTTCAAGCCGAATAAAACAATTGGAAAAACGTATGATATTCAATTTAAAAATATATATAAGATTGTGTTAACGGAAAAACTAAAAGTTATAAAGAATATTACGCAAGCCACTAGATACTTCACCGTCTTTCCAACGGATAAATATTTTCTTATAGTTGAAAAGTTACAGAGATAGAAGAATAGAAAACGGCCAACATTGAAAAACATTCTGTATCTCTTAAACAAATCAAAATATCGAAATAAGATTCTCGCCATTCAACTTTTCTCCAAAATTGAGCCCGAAACATATTTGCTACTTTTTCTGTTTTTTCGGAATATAGGAGAAACCTCCTATATCGAAATATTCATATTATTATTACAATGTAATTATACAATTGACCTTAAAGTTACTTTGCAATTTTACAAGTAATTGTGCAAGTTACATTGTTAAAATACTCTCTATTTTGTATAATCATAGTGTGATATTACAATTGGCTGTAAATTTACTTAAGAATGTTACAAGTAATTATACAAATTACATTATAAAATTACTTTTTATATTGTAACATCGCAAACTAATATTACATTTACAAAATATAAAATTACACTGCAAAATAAAATTACAATAGAGTTTTACATTTTATTTATAAAATCACAATCGATAAGAAAATTACAGTGATAATGAATAGTAAATAAATTGCCATCTATTTTTACTGTAATTATTTTTTACAGTGTGTAGCGAAGTGAATTATTTTCGAAAAAAAAACAAATTTAATACCTAAGTTACTGTTACAAAAAAAAATAGAATCCAATACGCTGATTACTGAGGTTAGATGAGATCTCAGATAAATGAAACATGCCTATTAGGGTGGCCCAAAGAAAAACGATTTTTTTTTTCGTGTCTCTTGTGAAAATATGTTAGTTTATTATTGTTTAAAAGCCCCCTCAAAAAATCAGGTCAACAAAAATTTTTTAGGGGTCGCTCAAGATTTTTAAAAATTTCCAAAATCGTCACAAAATTGAATTTTTAAAAAAATTTATTTTCTCGTTTTATCATTTTCTGGGTTGAAAAAAATCTCGATTCTGAAAATTTCTAAAGGTCACTCATAATTATTTTAACTTTCAAAGTAGTGTACATACCTATATTTTCCTCTAAAAATAAATATCAACGAACTAATAATTTTTTTTATTGAATTTGATGAACAAAAGACTAGAAATAAATCACGACACTTAAATTGTAAAAAATTAAAAAAAATTATAAATGTTTGATACAGTGCATGCGGTAGGTAGTAAATTTTGCCTCAAAAAATTTTTTAAGTGCCTCGTGATTTATTTCTATTCTTTTGTTCATCAAATTCAATAAAAAAATTAGTAGTTCGTTGATATTTATCTTTAGAGGTAAGAAAAAAATTCAATTTTTGACGATTCTGGAAATTTTTTTTGAGCGGATTTTTTGAAGGGGCTCTTAAAACATGATAAACTAACATATTTTCACAAAAGACACGAAAAAAAATATTCGTTTTTTTTTGGGCCACCCTAATGCCTATGGTATAATTTTTTATTTAGCACAAAAGCACAAAAAGGTAGATGTCATATAAAATTCTCTTACAAGTAGGAAAAAAACTTAGATCTGGCATCACTACTGCTAACATAATACGAGTACCTTTGGGTACGACGCGGAAACTGCCATCATTTATTTTAATTCACTGAAAAAATATACAATCATGTATGGTAGTTTTCATATAGATTTAACAGGCCTTTAACAGGCTGTTCTTTTAGCACTAACTATGCTCAACATAATTACAGACTATGCATAAAAAAGAACTAAAATCCTTCGATTACAGGAAAATCGGCAACTAAACCGAAAGCTAGGCAGTTCACGTGGATGACTGACGGCGCCAATGGTTAGCGGACCGATTGTGACAGCTCTAGTTATATCTCACCTGAACTTAAAACGTAAACAGCGTTGTTTCTTCAGCTAATATTATTTATAAAAATAGTTTCATTGGTTTCACAATTTATCGTGAAACTATAGTACGATCGTATTCGATGCAAAGTAATAAATCATTGCCTGTCAAGGGAATCAGTGCAACACATTTTATAGGAGGTTTTGGAAATTGAATAATTTCTTTATGCATTATGGATTAACAGTTATAATATATTTATGAAGGACAAAATGAAAAACAAAGGCATCTCCTTCGCACATTGGGCGGCAGGGCAACAATACATTTATTACTCCCTTCATTCTCCCTCACATGACTTGTGTCTTGTGTTTTTTGCGGCGGCGCGCGTGCCGGCCTGGCGTGGTCAGTTTCGTTTCGGTTGTATTGGTGCTGCGTGTTTCTCGCTCGCGATATTTGTGAGGTTATAACTGTTATAAGTGCAATTATATTTCTTTCGGGCTATATGTGTGTTTCGCGCTATTATTTGAGAATTTGTGAGTGAAATCATATTTCTTGTGCTCCGTAACAAAAGTGTTTTTAGTGTTTTATTTGTGTGCTGTGTGTGTGTTTCGGGCTGTTGTTTGTGAATCGTGAATGCTATTATATTTTCTGTGCTAGTGAAGTGAAGTTTTTTGTATTATTATTGCTCTGTTGTCGTTATATGGAGAAATGGAGGCGGTGCCTGGATGTTCGCGAGCCGGATGTACTGCTGTGGGTACAAAAAATCTATATTAAGTTACAGAGAAAAAACGATAACATTAAATGTCTATAACCCTTTAGAAAAGGATCATCCCATGAAACTGAAAACTGGTTTAGTGGAAATGTGTTCTAGATATACTGGAGTAAGCGAATTATCTGTTTTCAAAATTTTAAGAGAGAAGAAAAATGAAGGAGACGTTAAGAAACCTAAAAACGGGGGTTGAAGAAATTAATATTAAATGAAGATGAGAAAAATGCAGTTCGGCGTACAGTACATAAATCATAGAAATTATATTTTGTTTATAATTTGTTAACATTTCTTGTTTGATAGAAAAATAACTTATTTTGTTGAGATTGGTAGAGAATTGTTGTTAGTGTTTTCATTTGATAGAATCATATTATAGGATTTATATTTTGTTTTCATTCTGTAAATATTTATAGTATATCTGTTATACAAGGTTTTTGCTTTGAAACTTCGTTCTCCTTATAAAAAAAGAATCGTAATGGGGTGCGATGAAGAGATCAGTTCACGTCTGGAACCCTGTTCCTACAAAAATCCCTTTATTCTCATAAACTATTTGTTTTAAATGTAATTTATTATAAATCCAATTCGTTATTTAAATTCCACATATGTACTACATTTCACCTCTGTACGCGCCACTGTTTATTGTTCCCTGCTCTACGATCAAGCTCGCCAGGTTAGTATTTGACGTATAACCGACCACTTCGTACACTCGATGCACCTGGCCGACTACAGCTAGTACCAGAACACAGTGCGTATGCGGCGGTATTTCAGATTTTACATTCAATTTTATTTTAAATTTGAAACGGTTCATCTTACGCCTCCTAAAAATGATGACACGATTTTCTTGTGATAAAAGACCGACAATTTTTTGCTCTACTTTGCATCGAATACGATCGTACTATACGATCTATATAAAAATATATCAAGAAACGATTTATAACTAGAACTTTCATGAAAAAAATAAGAATAATTTTTTTTTGGCTACAGGGCCGTAGGTACTACATTTTTCTTTTGATTTATTAAAACGGTTGGTCATATCTCCATCGAAAAAATTTCAGTAAAAGTTAATTTAAGGTTGTGTCCCACAAAATGAATGATCCTAAGAAACCAACCCACGTCTTCCGTCGGTTGAAAATACAACAAAAATCCTCGGCAACCTCTAGCAACTTGTAATTAATTGTAAACAGTAGAAACTTTCACTTTCATTAACACGCTAAGAGCAAACCAGAAATATGCTAACATGTAGACATACATCAGAGGCACGCCTTTTATGCAAATGACAGGAATAATCTTGATTCATTAAAATTTCTTGTTTTCGTTTGAAAGGTTTACGCACTCTGGAGCCGGTGACTTTATGTATGAGACTTTTATATCCAATACCGTAGGCCACTTTTAAAGAGGGAAACGTTGAAGTTATAATATGTATTGCGAAAATTTAAGAATTACAAAAGAAATAAACAAAGTAAGTATTTAATTAAATGAAATTGTGATAAACAAATAGGGACAAAATTTAAAAATATATATTTAGTCCAATCAGTTGGAAGTTTTGCCTGTGAAGTTTTAGGGGGGTTTTGAAAATTGGTATATTTATAGATTTTGACGTGCTCTTTCCGAATTTTTACTTTGCCACCTCTTTTTTTTTCGGAAGTAAGGGCTATATTGGAAAAATGGCGCTCCAAAACAGTTTTTCGACGATATTTCCTTTCCGACTCACTTTACGGTGAAAATAGTTATGTAATAAATTAAACTAGAGAATATTTCCTATAATTTATGTATTGGCCAACAAATTTATTTCCACACCACCATGAGGTAGAGTTCCTGGCACGTTTTTTTTAGTGGTATCCCCAGCAGGCCTAATCTACATGTGATGCACTGTTGACTAAATTTAGTGCATTCTCCTTCGCTTCGCTATCCCTGATGGACCAGGTTTTGCGAGTTCTTCGTCTTCAAAACTGAACAAAACCTCATGGATATGAAGTTCTTCCAAGTTATCCGCGATAGGGTTCTCTTCTTCGACTTCATCACCTTCTTCCTCGATTTCGTCGAAGGTTCTGGCAGTGATGCAATATTTAATTTATTTTTAAATGCTGACTTCGTGAAACATGTGTATCGGTGTTTGTTTTTTTTTAGTGTGGTATGGGGTTGGAAAAAATGCAGAACGGTGAGGATGGAAAAAAGCAAGAATGGGCTAATTCCTATCACCACACTTGAGCCCCCAATTCCAGCAAACTTGCTAAAACTAATTTCTTGTAAATGTAAAAAAGGATGTCGAGGAGCCTGTGGATGTAGTTAATAATGACTAATTACAGTCACTAAAATTTTGATATGAGGTTAATTAGAGTTTAAAATATTACTAAGAATGTATACGTTGTTTATGAGACATCCATCAACAAATTTTGACATAAGTCTACTTTGAGAAAAGTCACTTATTTTATTCACTGTAATATTGTAAGAGTTTAATTGAAAGCATTTTTTCTCGAAAACTGTCCACATTAGGAAGTTCTAACAACAGTAAATTATTTGTAGAAAATAAAACTGTACAATAGAAATTGAAGCCCGAATGGTAAAAAACCTAACCTTAAAAAAATTTGAACTTAAAATGTAATAGAAATGTAGCATAACTAGCGCCCTATATGAAATATTTAAAAATAGTTAGACCAGAGTATTAGGCATCCTTAAAGACCCCGGAATACTAAATTTCATAAAAATATTTCACACCATTCGGAAATTGTCGTAAAAATTCTATTTAAAAATTTTTATTTTGTCGCTCTGTATCTCGAAAACAATAGGAGATAGATATATACTTCATAGGCCAAAAAATTCTTATTTTTTGTCATACTATAACCCCCTATATTTACGGAAGGTCTTTCTGAAACACCCTGTATACTCAGAATAGAGTCAAAAGTCACTCAATTGATGTTATAGTCTGTTTAGAAATGAAAGAGAGTAATAAAAGCTTATTATGTATGCAAATCGTAAATAAATGTAGTACTGGTGCTTATATTCAATATTTTTATATTATGTATTTTCGGTATAGATGAGGTGTACTTTTAAAAAAACTTTGTGCGATCGGACTGTACTAAATTGTAGCAGGTAGCTAAAATTTAATCCCCGACAATCCGTCTTTGTCTATGCCGCTTCAATTTCTCGGTCCATTTCTCTTATAAGTAAACAATATAAAAACAGCATTTCAAAACATGAGGCTACTTTAAGCATCATAACCGGGTTAAGAGGGTTTTTAGTAATTCAAATAAAATTATTCAATATTATTATCAAAATATTTATTTAAATTTAATGAATAGACTTTTATTCCACACAAAAATATATGTATTTTGAAAATTCAAATTATGGTGAGTAAATGTAGTGTTGTATAAATGTACAATAAAGAAAATAAAAAAGTAGGTATATTAAAATTCATCCTCTGAATATTCTGATGAATTATCTTCGTCTCCTAGATTGATAACGATAGGTTCCACAGTAACGTCAATTAAATTATCGAGTTCCCACATTTTCTCCTCTTCTTTTTGTACATGATGTATACATCTTTGCCAGTTATCTGCAGTTACTCGTTCCAAGGAATTTTTTAACAAAATTTTCACGTCACTTAATTTAAACGTCGTATTATTTCGCGCTACATCTCCTTTTACCTGCGCCCAGACTAATTCGATTGGGTTAAGTTCACAGTGATAAGGTGGTAACCGTAGTACCGTTATTTGGCGATTTGTTGCCATTTCATCGATAACATATTTTTTCTGATCTTTATTAAGATTGACAAGTGTCAAAAGTTCCTTTTTCACCATATTTGTTTCAAAAGAAATGTTTTTTCCGGATAACCATTGAATTATATCGGCTTTCCTCCAAGCAGTCGTAGGCGTCCGCTCGGTCTGCCGTGAATGGTAACTGGCATTATCCATGACAATTACAGACCCCGGAGGAATAAGATCCAACATCTGTGTAAAATACTCTTCGAAAACATCTGCGTTCATGTCTTCGTGATAGTCACCTGTATTTTTAGATTCAAATAAAAGTAAACCGCCATCTACAAAACCACTGGCACTACCTATATGTGTCACTATTAATCTTCGCCCTTTACCTGAAGGTGCCTTGAACCCTGTTGAAAGTCCATCCAAAAATGCTTGTCGAAAACTTTTTACATTTTTATCTTGCCATACTTTTGTTACAGTATATCCCTCGTTGACCCAAGTTTCGTCTAGATAATAAATATTCCTCCCTTCGTCACGGAATTTTCTAATTGATCTTAAGTAGGATCTTCGCCAACAAATAATTTCATCTTTATCGATAAGAACTGACTTCCTGTTCTGCTTTTCCCAGCAAAAATTCAACTCTCGTAAGACGGCCCATAATTTGCTTCTACTGATTTTTGGCAAATCGTTGTCCTCTGAAAGTTCACTTAAAATTTTGTTTAGCGTTGGTATTTCTTTTTTAAAATAAAATGAGTGTACTTTTCTGCGAATGACATTTTTGAAGAAATCATCTATAACGACTTTTGACCTCCCTGTAGATGATTTTGGGGGATTTACAGTATCTTGTTCATTTTTTGTTTCCTTTAAAAGTCTGTAGATAGTCGATTTTCCAATCCCTGTCATTTTGGAACACTTTTCCACGATGTCGTCAACACTGTTGGTAGGATTTTGGTGTTTCAATGCATTAAATACATTTAATATAATAATCTTCTCATTCTGAGACAGCGCACATCTTTTCACGCGTTTAGCAGGTACGTAATCTGATAAGCTCGACATTTTACCCAAACAATATTATATCCACTGGCACAATAGTCACTAAACACAAGTCGAATTTTACTCTACTGCACTAGCACGTCTTCGTATATTCAGCTCTAAGACTGGATTGATCTGTCACAATACACTGGCTCCTGCCCTATGATGTATCCAGTAAAATATACTAATGTACACCCATTACCTGTTAGCATTAGTGTTACCCGATAATTACCTGAAACGAAATATTACCACGCCCATGGCCGGTTCTTATCTCGGGGTTTTTTTACTCTCTTTCATTTCCAAACAGACTATAGCAGTGACTCGGATTTGAGTAAAACTCACTCATTTCTGATGCAATAGTTTCACTCAGTTGTACTCATACTAATAGAATGAAAATTTCACTCAATGGGGTGTGGACAAAAATTGATATATTATAGAGTAGCATTGAGTGAATTTTTTTTACATTATAGTCTAGAATACACATTATCTAACTTTATTTGAATAACTGAATTATGGTAAAACCATTTGATACCAGAAGTTTTCACAATCTCAAACATTGAATAACCATAATTCTCCTAAAAAATTGATTTGGTAAGAATTTATTTGCAATTAGAAGTCAATATAAAAATATAGGAGAAAAACAAAATTTTGTAACGTCAATCCCATAAAATGAAATTTATCAATAAAAAAAGAATTTAGCAACAATATTTGTAAAGAATTGTGTAAAAGTAGTTGTAAGTAAAGTATTTATGTAAAAAATAGTCTCAATGTTTAGTTTTAAGAAATGAAGGTGAAGGTGCAGAAACTAAAACAGAAAATTTGGTCGTAATTAAACAAATCATATACTAAAAGATAGATTATGTATAAATAAAAGGAACTAATAGCAGAATTCATCTGTGGTTAGTTCAGTGCAATCATTTTTTTTTCTTGATGCCATTCTAAATAAGTTACATTTGTTCTGGGAAATCAGGTATAAAAAACATCATATTTGTCAGAGCTAGTTTGTAAAAAGCTACGTAAGCGTGAATATCAATCTGAAGTAAAAACAATATGCTTACAAGTAATATGATAAAAAGATAAAGCTAAAAGTAAAAAGAAGGTTATGTATGATGTTATAAATCCGCAAGTTACATTTCTGTAAAAATTTCTAAAAAGTGCAATGGAACAAAAGTAGGAACAGCAGTACCTATACTACCTGGGGAAAATTTGTATAATTTTTTAAATAATATTTTCTTTATAAATCAAATGTCTATGAGCGGGTTAAATTTTTATAAAAATATTCCATAATATTGATGGTAAAATACAATACGCTATCAGAAAATGAATGAAACCCTGAAAGTTTGTTGCAACGATATTGTTACACGCTATACTTAACTGTAAGTTATAAATACCAAGGAATTGATCTGACAAATAAAATCATTGAGTTATGAATTTATTACAGGCCAGTAAACAACTAGTTTAAAGGTAAAAATCTTAATCTATAGTGATATGCTTGTCACATTGTCGGAAAGGTATGTTAAATCTCACTCGTAATGCGTTTAAAGAAAGTTAATTCAAGGTATATGATTTATGAAGATTTAAGATACATAATAATGCTTAATAGAATTCCAAGGACCTTTCAACTGTACAGGGTGGGCAAATAAGCGAGGTAAGCGGCTGTATCTCAGAAACTAGTGATCGTAGAGAGCTACGGTAAAAAATTTTATAGGTAAAGTGGGCAAGGGAAAATGCTGGAAATTATTTTCAAGTTTCCAAGATGGCCGCCAGTGGGCGTTTCCACCATCTTGAATTACATAAAGTTACGTTTCTCGCGATTTTCCCCAATGAATGTAACAAAAAAGTATTTGCGTTTTAATGTTAACTTAAAGTCGAACATTTTTTGTAAAAACAATTTTTCTCTATCTTTCGAAATAAAGTGGTGGGGGGTATTTGAATGTTGTTTTAAATAAATGCCTGTAACTTCGAAACGGCTTAATGGATTTGGATAAATTTGGTATCATTGAAAAGAGCATTTCTTGGGCTTTTAGGTTTCTCGTAATCATGACAGTTGCGACCTACACGGCCGCCGATAGAGGGCGTTATTCGATATTATAACCAAAATATTGGATTTTCTCAAAAAATTTAAATGCGATGATATGACTTTTTTTAGACTAGAAAATAGACAAATGACCAACCAATAAGCCTGCGCAAACCGCATCTTAATATCTTTTTCCTAACTCAAATTATTTAAAAAAATACTAAACCAGGAAAATTCATATATCCCCATTTAAAAATGCATCGGTTGCTTTCGATAAGAAGGCAAGTAGTAGGCCATGGACACGACAATCGCCTAACAAAAATATTGCCAAGTAACGTCAAACTTTTGTCACACGCAGCCTAATATTGTTGATTGCGTATAATTTGAGTACTTTTTAATCAAAATGCCTCTCACAAATAATGAAGCCGTTGACATGATTGCGATTTATTTCGAGTGTTTTCAAAATGCAGCTATAGCTGCAAGACAGTACGCGGCACGGTATCCAGATCGCCGTCATTACGGGAGAAGAATGTTTCCGCGCTTGGTACAGCGATTACGCGATACTGGAAGTTTTCGTCGTCCTAAACGTCGCAGGCGTCGCAATGGAAGGACCGAAGAAAACATTATCAATGTCTTGGCTTACATAGAATTTGATAGACATGTAGGAACTAGAACATTGTCTCTAGACTTGGGAATAGCACGAACAACTGTTAGAAATATTTTGAAAGATTATAGGTAAATAATTTTATCTTATTCCAAGTATCTTAGCACATACTCTCAAATACACAATTCAGTGTTATTCTGATTATATTATTTTTACGCATATGTTGTTTTTTACTTTTAGATTACATCCTTACCACATAGTTTTGCACCAGGCGCTAAATGAACAAGATTTCGATAATAGATTAAATTATTGTCAATGGATGCTAGGCATGCTTGAGGAAAACAGAAATTTCTTAACGGAAATTCTCTGGACCGACGAGGCTACCTTTAGTAGTGATGGTAGAGTAAACCGTCATAATATGCATTATTGGTCCGCTGAAAATCCGCATTGGTTAAGAGAAGTGCAGCACCAGGGACGCTGGAGCCTAAATGTGTGGTGCGGTATCATTGGGGACAGAATTATTGGACCTTATTTTTTTGATCAAGCTTTAACTGGTAACCGCTTCTTAGAGTTTTTGATCAACGACTTGCCAATTTTGTTGGAAGATGTGCCACTCGAAACTAGGAGAACTATGTTTCTGCAATTAGATGGTTGTCCGGCACATTATTCAATTAATGTCCGAAACCATATTAACGGGACCTTTCGAGAACGCTGGATAGGAAGGGGAAGCCTATTTCCTTGGCCGGCAAGATCTCCGGACTTGACATGTCTTGATTTTTACTTGTGGGGACGCTTAAAAGACATTGTTTTTCAAACTCCACCAACAACACGAATGGATATGGAAAACAGAATTCGAAACTCAATTCGTCAACTATCAGCGGTAGAAATCGAGGCTGCGGTTCTGTCGACTCAAGAAAGACTGGAACAATGTGTGGAATATGACGGAAGGCAATTTGAACACAGAAGGCATTAATCTTTTTTCAAAATCGGTCCTTTTCAGGACCACAACTTTATTTAAAAGGAAAATCGCTTATAAATACGAAAACGTGCGACTTAAAATCACAGCACTAAATAAACTGACATTTCTTGTGAATATTTTAGAGAGGAGTTTGTCTTTTATTTCCATGGCCTACTACTTGCCTTCTTATCGAAAGCAACCGATGCATTTTTAAATGGGGATATATGAAGTTTCCTGGTTTAGTTTTTTTTTTAATAATTTGAGTTAGGAAAAAGATATTAAGATGCGGTTTGCGCAGGCTTATTGGTTGGTCATTTGTCTATTTTCTAGTCTAAAAAAAGTCATATCATCGCATTTAAATTTTTTGAGAAAATCCAATATTTTGGTTATAATATCGAATAACGCCCTCTATCGGCGGCCGTGTAGGTCGCAACTGTCATGATTACGAGAAACCTAAAAGCCCAAGAAATGCTCTTTTCAATGATACCAAATTTATCCAAATCCATTAAGCCGTTTCGAAGTTACAGGCATTTATTTCAAACAACATTCAAATACCCCCCACCACTTTATTTCGAAAGATAGAGAAAAATTGTTTTTACAAAAAATGTTCGACTTTAAGTTAACATTAAAACGCAAATACTTTTTTGTTACATTCATTGGGGAAAATCGTGAGAAACGTAACTTTATGTAATTCAATATGGTGGAAACGCCCACTGGCGGCCATCTTGGAAACTTGAAAATAATTTCCAGCATTTTCCCTTGCCCACTTTACCTATAAAATTTTTTACCGTAGCTCTTCTGAGATACAGCCGCTTACCTCGCTTATTTGCCTACCCTGTACATAAGTAATACTGCAAATGTTACAAATATATAGGGTGTCAAACAAGAAACGTTTATCAATATTCAAGAAAGCTATGAGGATATTTTAAAAAGAGGAGAAATGGTGATATTAAAATTTTTTATATACCTAGATATATTCAAATATTGTTAAGTTTTTCAGGTTCCTGCTGAAAATTATCCTCAAAATATGCAGTGCAAAAATACGTCTGCGGCCAACAATGATGAAATAAATCTTGGGTTAGTCGCTTGCTGAATCTGCAAAAATTTTCTCTCATCGGAAAATCAGCAGGCGTGAGCTTGAACTCGTTGTAAATGATAAAGGTAAAGGAGCTGCTGATGTAATACCCTCCAAGTGGTCATTTAGTTCCCTAACAGCTTCCAAAATAAATTCTTCAACCTTAATTGTATGAGCTCTTCGTGGTCTTCCTGTTTCTAGTAATGGAGTGGTAACTGTGCCTGTCTCTGCCAGACGGTGAAAGAGTGAAGCAAATAGCTTACGACTTGGCTGTTGTCGATCTGGATAAATTAGTTGATAAAGCCTAGTAGCTTCGTGACGATTACTATTGGCGCGACTGTGTGCATAAGTACCATATCTGCCTTTTCACGACACTAATAATAATTTACCGTTTTGTCAAACTTATTAATAGTATATTAGCATTAAGAACGGTAAGGGTAATTTACCGTTCGAAGACAATGTTTGGAAGCTGAGCGAAGCGAAGCCTCTAATTTTGTCTGAGAACGGTATAACTCTTAACGTTCGTGATGCTTATACTATTTTTTGCACGATCGCAATAAATGAAAACGAAATTATATATCCGTATTTAATTTTTTATGTAACGTCAAAAATGACGTTTTTGAATAAATTTGCGAAGCAGGTTTTTTGAAATCTACTAATGTTTATTGTTGTCACGGCTTTCTTAATTGACGAAATTGACAGTTCTAGAACCGGTAGTTATGGTGTTATTTATTAATAATTGATAGTTCTCAAATTTTACGACGCGTTGTTGCATTTACGAGAATTTAAGAAAGCAAAGTGTTGGTAAAATGAGCGATTCGTCTTTAGATGCAGGGTTAGAAGAAGCGTGGAGTGTTGGATGTTCAACATTAATTCCTGAGAAATCAAGGGAGCGCTATGAAAATACACACAAGATTTTCAAGAAATGGTGTGAGACAAAAAACCAACATATTACCGAGAAAGTTATGGTGGCGTACTTTGTCCAAAGGAACGAAAAATTAAAAGCTCCAGGAAGCTTATGGGCAGAGTATTCAATGTTAAAAAGGACAATTTTTGTTCATGACTCGCTTGACATTTCCAAATTTTCGACATTAATTGGCTACTTCAAACGGAAAAATGTTGGTTACAGACCAAAAAAAGCCAGTGTGTTTACTAAGAAAGACGTGTCGCAATTCCTAATTGAGGCACCAGATGACAGATATTTAATTCATAAGGTAAATTTGGATGATTTTACATTAATAGGTGCTGTTATTCGATAGAGTGGACTGTATAAACTCTTGTGCTGATGTGATTAATTTTCTTTATTTCCTGAATATGGTACAACTACACAATTAGATTAATAGAATTTAGAACATGTCATCATTTTATTTGATTTTTCAACAACAACTTTTTTGTTTTTGTTGCTCTGCAACCGTCTCTATACAACTTAGATTATATAAAATATATTAACATACAAAATACAAAATACTTCACCATACTCCCCACCTTGAACTATTTTAGTTCAATAATAAATACATGAGAGAAAGAATTGGTAAGTATGCTTACAGTATATATGTATGAGTGAAGATATACAGAATTAAATAGATACGTAAAACTAAAACAAATTTTAAAGATGACTATCACTTAGCGCATCACTGTTCTCACTTTCAGGTACAGGAAGTGGACACAACCTGGATACTGCTCGTTTAAGTATTCCATTTTTAGTCTTAACTGTTGCAACTCTCACTACATTGTCTTCTCCTGGATGAAGTTGAACGACTCTGGCAAGTAACCACTGATATGGAGGAAGATTATCTTGTTTGACTAAAACAAGATCACCAACTGCTAAGGAACTGGACTGTTGAGACCACTTGGATTTTTGTTGCAGCTGAGACAGATAATCCCTTGACCACCTCTTCCAAAACTGTTGATTAATTTGTTGAAGTAGTTGATATCTGGACAGCCTTCCAATTTGTAAATCCATCACATTTGAATCCGGAATCGTTATTAACGATTTGCCAATTAAAAAGTGAGACGGCGTTAAGGATTGGAAATCATTAGGATCAGGAGACATCGGATACAACGGTCTGGAATTCAAAATTCCTTCTATCTGAATTAAAACGGTGTTAAATTCTTCATATGTTAAATGCGTATCTCCAATAATTTTTAATAAATGATGTTTCATACTCTTAACTCCAGACTCCCATAGTCCTCCGAAATGAGGAGAGTTTGGAGGTATAAAGTGCCAAACTATATTTTCACCAGCACAATTACGCACAATTTCATCCCCTGAAGATATAAAAAAATTATGCAAATTATTTAATTCTTTGACTGCCCCTACAAAATTCGTGGCATTGTCTGAATAAATATGACCCGGTTTACCCCGACGTGATGAGAATCGTCGTAGAGCAGCAATGAAAGATTCTGTGGTTAGATCTGTAATCAATTCAAGGTGTACTGCTTTAACTGAAAAGCAAATAAAAAGACAAACATAACCTTTTAATGATTTTGCACCACGACCTCTTTTATCTTTCAATATGAAAGGGCCTGCATAATCAATTCCTGTTACATAGAAGGGATTCATTAAAGTAACTCGAGTTTTTGGTAAGTGTGCCATAATAGGATTTATTGATTTGGGTTTAAATTTGAAACACTTTATACAATTTCTTGTTATCTGTTTTGCAATACTCATTCCTGAAATAGCCCAATATTTTTGACGTACTGTAGCCAATAATAGTTGTGGACCAGGATGTAAAAGTTCTAAATGAGTTTTGTCAAATATTAAACGAGTTAAAACATGATGTTTAGAGAGAAGTATTGGATGCTTTTCTCCAAAATGTAATGATGAATTTTTTAATCGACCACCTACTCTTAGTAAACCATCAACTGGGTCCATGAAAGGTGATAATCTTAATAAATTACTCTTTGATTTCAGAGGTTTGCCAAAGCTTAACAATTTAATCTCTTCTGAAAAGCTTTCATATTGAGCAAGCTTAATCAACTTATTCATGGCACTATTGAGTTCATTAACAGAAAAAATTCCATATACACGTTTTGCTTTTGGAAGTTTCGCATTAGAAATAAATCTAAGACAATAAGCCATCACA